CCCAAATACTTATTATAAGGTCCTAATAACATTACTATATTGAAACATAAGATATATTAACGATAGGGTAGGCGTAGCTCACTTACAGCGGGTTTTTCGCAAAACCGAGCTTTGCTGGAGCAACGTTCCCTAGCCAAAAGGCTCTTTTCTCTGGACTCCGGGAGCCTCGGGGCTTCCTTCCGGTGCTAAGGGGTTTACATAGACTTTAGGGGGCTTAAGGGGAGCTAGAGAGAGAAAGTAGAGAGAGAAACTGAAGATGGGAAGGTGTGAGAATTAAGGGAACCTGACACCTCTATTTATAGGCTTCCTGGAGCGTCACCACGTCGTGGTGTTGCGTAGGCTCCAAGGTTTCGCCTGGTGCTGACACGTGGCACCGCACATAGGGTGGAAATCAGCCGATTTTCAAAAATTCATAACTTTCGCATACAAGCTTCATTTTCAACGTTATTTATATCCACGCATAGGTAAAATCAAGATCTACAACTTTCATTTTGACTCCATCGGCTAATTCTCGACCGGTCTTAAATTTAACAGTAGAATGAGAGATTATATTGTTAAACGACCGCGAAGAATTCGTAACTCCTTCATATGGACTCAGTTTGCATCTATCTTTTTATCCTTGAGTTCCTATTAATGAGATCTTCAACTCTCATTTAGGTTGTGTAGGCCAAAAACCGCTCGAACTAAAAATTCGAGTTTCGGGTCGTATGCCAAATCTTAGAAAAATCATAACTTCTTCATACGAAGTCAGGTTTAGGCGTTCTTTTTATGGACGCTCTCGTTTTAACATATTCTACGACTTTCGTTTAGATTACAAAGGCTAAAATTCGCTCTATCGTAAATTCACTATTTACGCTTCCCGATGTCATGCCGGTTTTGCCGTAAAACTTCGACGGGCCATAACTTCTTCGTTATAACTCGGATTTCGGCGTTCATTATATGTACAAAACACTTGAGACATATTCTACAGCTTGGTTAAGATTATTCCTTCAAAATAATCTTCCATCAAAAAGTTATTCTGACGCTCATTGTCTATAAATTAACTAGCCCGGATCTACGCGTGTTACACCAAAATGACGTAATTTAAAATCAAGGGAATGATTTGAAAATACCTTAAACCCAAGATGTTACAAATATCTCCCACTTGAACTAGACTTCGTCCTCGTAGTCTGCTGTGGAGAAGAAATCTGGGTAATACTCCTGCATCTCAACCTCCGGTTCCCATGTCCACTCGGACCCCCTCCAGTGTTGCCATCATACCTTTACCAAAGGTACTTCCTTGCTTCGCAAAACCTTAACCTTCCTCTCTGGAATCACCACCTGTCTCTCAACATAGTTCAGGCACTCATCAACCTGAATATCATCCAAAGACACCACTACATCCTCATCCAATACACACTTTCGCAACTGCGAAACATGGAAAGTGCTATGAATCTAATTGAGCTTCTCTGAAAGATCCAATATGTAGGCTACCTTGCCAACCCTCGAAATGATCCGGAACGGTCCAATATATCAGGGATGCAATTTCCCCTCTTCCTGAAGAAAATCACACATTTCCAAGGTGAGACCTTTAGTAATACCATGTCTCCGACCTGAAACTCCAACTCGGATCAGCGTCAGTCTGTATACCTCTTCTGCCGACTCTAAGTTGTAACGCCCGTAGATCCGGGCTAGTCAATTTACAGACAATGAACATCACAAATGAGTTTTTGATGGAAAATTAATTATAAGGAGTAATCTTAACCAAGTTGTAGAATATGTCACAAGGGTTCCATTCATATAAAGAATGTCAAAATCCGAATTATAACGAAGAAGTTATGGCCCGTCGAAGTTTCACGACAAAACTGGCACGGCACTACGCGACGTGAATAGTGAATTTACGATAGAGAACTCTTTGGCCATAGTGGTCTAAAAAAAGTTATAGTATACGTTAAACTGAGAACATGCATAAACAGAACGCCCAAATCTGACTTCGTATGAGGAAGTTATGATTTTTCTAAGATTTGGCTGAGCAGTGCACGACCCGAAACTCGAATTCTAGATCGAGTGATTTTTGGCCAATGAGACCTAAATGAGAATTGAAGATCTCATTAATAGGAACTCAACGACAAAAAGACAGATGAAAACGGAGTTTGTATGTAGAAGTTATGAATTTTACGCGGACATTTAACAATGTAGTCACCTTCTACTGTGAAATTTATGATCGGTCAACAATTAGCCAACGGAGTCAAAAGGAAAGTTGTAGATCTTATTTTTATCTACGCGTGGATATAAATAACATAAAAAACGGAGCTCGTATGCGAAAGTTACGAATTAAAGAAGTCGGAAGTGTGTTGTGCAAAAATGGGTGACGTGGCACAATTTTGGCCATTGCTTTCTCTCCAAGTCTTGCCACCGGATGGTGACATGTGGCACCAAGCTCAGCCATATTTCACCTTATAAATAAACCTCTCCCACCCTCATTTTCTTCACACCTTTCCCATTCTTTCTTCTCTCTACACTCTCTCTAAAACTCCCAAAAAAAAAACTCCCCTAGCGCTAGAAGAAAGCCCCGGAGCGCTCGACGGCTCCAAGAAGAAGAGCCTTCGGCTCGGAAGTTCTGCCCTTGCAGAGCACGACTTCTAGCCAAACCCCCTCGTAGGTAAGATACGTCTACCTAATTTTTAATATAGCTTTTATTTAAATATAGTAACGTTATTAGGACCTTATAATAATTATTTAAGCTATTGTTATGGGTTATATAAGTGTCGTTATAATATCTTTTTAACCACTCGCGGTACGGGGAATCCAGTTTGAAGGGCCGCCTGGGTTGTTGGATTTCAAAAGTGCTATATGCCAAAATGATCCTGCCATCCGATGTTTTATGTCTGGCCCCTGTCTGTATATAGTGGGTGAACAGTATTGTTTAACACTAATATAATAGTAATAATAACTAGACAATTAATTAGTCTCGTTGAACATTAGACTAAACTCTAGTGGAAATGATACTAGGTTTCATCAACAGAAATTTGTTTTAAAGTAAACGAAGTGTTGTACGAGTACCGAGTCACCACCTTTGTAGGTGAGTGCATAGTTACTTTTACATATAGATATGAAGTATTTTATATAAATTACGTGCTATGTGTATATACTGTCTGAATACTTGATGTTTATGATGGATGAAACGTTTTATACATGTTTTAAATGATCTAAATTATATATGAATTTTATATCTACAAAATGTGTTGGGTAAAACATGGGTAGATTAGAGGTGAGATAAATGATGAACGATGAAAGATGAGATAAATGATGAGCGATGAAAGATGAGATGAATGATGAGCAATGATATATGAGTAATAAAATATGGTGCGACCCAATGACCTACGCGATGAGCCAAAGCAAGGAGCCAAAATGATGAGCCAAACGATGACCCAAGTAATGGCCCCGTCATCTAGCAGAGTATGGATGACAACCATGGACTATTCTAGACAATCTAGTGGAACACTAGCAGGCTCGCAACCTATAGGTGTTGTGAACGATGTGTTCACCCAGTGTACTCAAAAAACCCATTGAGTAAAGAAGATAATGGGGATGATTAATTGGGTTGATTGTTTGATGTTTAACGTAATAATTATATTATTGTGGGTTGAAAACCCTATGTACTCATTAGGTTTCCCAACACTCAAGCTTATTTGTATCATAGGTATCGATATGAAGCTACTTTACACTGAGGGATTTAAAAGAGATGTAGATCACTAGTGTAAATGAATGTAAGTTCTGTTTATGCTTATGTTTATGTATTGACGATGAAATCCCAATGTTTTAAAAATAAATTAAAATACATTTCCTTAGAAATGCTTGATAACGTATTTATCATGTTTTTCTAGGAACAAATTCTGCAACATTTTTATTAAAAGAGGTACACTGATTTTTATAAAGCATAAACAAAATCGGTCTTTTATGGCTGTGAAATTGGGGATGTCACAGTTGGTATCAGAGCATTAGTTTAAGCGAACCAGAAATATGGATTTATTTCTAGACTTAAACTTAGAATGCTAAGTGATGATCGTAAGGAGTGTGTCTAATAAAATTAGGTACACTACAAGAAAAAATACCCTTTAATGACACGCAAACAATGACACTCTCTGAGTTACGTTACGCATTTTTGTGTGTCCTTAAAAATAATGTCAGCCTTCCAAAATTTGAAGGATAGAGAACACGCATTTTTGCACGCCCTAAAATTAATGTCCAATAAAAAAACACGGAGGGCGCCTATGATAAAAAGCGTGTCCTTTACAAATGTCGTTTTATAATTTTTACTAGAAGCGTGTTTCTGGGACTCCTTGATATGTAAGGGGGGAAATGAAATCCCCCAAAATTTTGAACACCCACCTTCCTCTTCCTCTGTACTCTCTACACTCGCCAGATCAACTTCATTCTCTCCTTTCTCTCTACAAACCCTTTCCTCTACGATCGACTTTCACTCCTTCTCTGTGCAAACCCTAATCAAACATAACACATTTGCAATGGTAATATCTTCTTTCACAAAATAGACGATTGACCGAAGAACTAGGGCTTTTGATGTATCGGGCATCACCAGCAACGATAGCTACCCATCACAATTTGTGTTTTCTCTCGGACTCCACCGTTCCAACATCGCACCACAATAGCGATTCCAACCACGAATCAGCAGTTTTGAGTTTTTTGGCATCAATTTTGAAGGTAAGTAGACACGATTTTAAAGTTCTGAACTTTTTTCTTTCCTATGCTACCACTTCCCCCTTTCCTTTTTATTTCACTCTCTTTGTAATTGCCAATAGATTGAGATAGAGAGATGGTCTATCGATTAATCAACCATGGTAGATGATTTGGTGTAACTATCACCCGTTATAGTTTTTCGATTCTTTTTGTTCTAACAATGCATGCCAACTGTTCGTTGAATTGCTCAAACGGAACTTCCATCACAAAGATGGTCTACTTTTTTGTCTAGATTGCCCAGAGAGTGCATATTAGTCGTCGGGATGGCACCTTATGCTCATCTGGCGGTTTATAAAGTATGTTTTGGTCCAGATTGCCCAGAGAGTGACATATTAGCTGGGCTTGATGTTGCGGTAGCTGATGGAGTTGATGTGATATCAATTTCTATTGGAGAAGAAAACATGCCTTTTTTTCAAGACAACATTGCAATAGCCTCATTTGCAGCTATCCAAAAAGGAATCTTTGTGAGTTGTGCAATAGGGAACTCAGGTCCGTTCAATGGTACTGCAACAAATATAGCTCCATGGGTTCTATGAATTGGTGCTAGCACAACTGATAGAAAAATCAAAGCCACAAAAAAACTAGGAAACAATAAGGAATTTGATGGTGAATCATTATTTCAGCCAAAAGGTTCCCCTTCTTCTACACTTTCACCACTCGTGTATGTTGGTTCTAATGAGCAGTTAGTATGATTTGGATTGAACCTCCATCTTCCAATCGACTAGGCGTGTGATCAAAAAGTTTCGAGGTCACGACAGTGAGGTATGTAATTTCCCCAACAAACCAATTTATCAATCACATAACACATATTTATAATTTCACAATTATAACACCATTTTTGTGTAGGTGAATGCTATAAAGTTCAATGAATATTCATCCGTTGTTGTATCAGCAGGGTATGATCGTTCCTTGCTTGCCTAGGACTGTAGATCTCACAGCACTAAGCCAATTCAGGTTTGGGTTTCCTTCCCTTTCCTACATCTACATGCCTGCTAAATTATTTTTATATTTATATTATCAAAAGTTGATGATAGTTTTAATTGATTCACAGATCATTAACACCTTTCTAGACAGCGTTATGTCTATCTGTTTAACAAAAACTAAGATTATTGTTGGAAGTGTTGATGGAACTGTACGCATATTTGACATCCGGATTGGTAGGTAGGTATTCCATGTGACAATCATCATGATTATGAAATGAAAAACTTTGTAGCACATTTGAGCTTTAAAGTTTCTTCTATTTCCAGAGAATTATCTGATGATTTGGGGCAACCTGCAAACTGTATCTCACTATTAAATGATGGTAAATGTGTATTAGCCAGTTATCTGGATTCTAGTCTGCGCCTTTTGGACAAGTGAATTTCTACTTCACATCTCTTCTAATCAAAAGGATGGATGAGTCTATTGTAAAAATTATTCTTCTTTTGGTTTGGTTTGCATAACTAGTAGTGAATTACTACAAGAATATCAAGGGTGTTTAGCAAGATATTCAATCACTCCATTTTTCAGTGATAATCAGACAATTGATATCACAAATCTACTAAAAGGTGAGGTATCTTCTTTTATTTCCTTTCATTTTGTTACTGCCATCATAATAACACTTGTATTATTCTATATCACAGAAAAGAAAAAAGTCAAATAAGGAGCTTTATTTATGAGCACAATTGAAAGATTTACACATGCATCATCTGTAATGGCAATAAATTCTTCTTGTGTTTGTGATTAAGAGCCCGATCTTGTGGAGGCTTATTGTAGTTTCACTTCAATATTTCTTTGCAGCTGTCCAAAGTTTAAATTCACTATCTCTTTAGGATCTATTTGTTAAATTGACTCTGTGAAAAAGATGTGAATGCCCTTATCATATAGGGTTTTGATGCATTACATTTATAGGAAGTAGTAGCTTCTTCTGGTCCTCTTCTTGAAGTTTCACTTCAGAAAGCAACCATATGTTGTACAACTATGCATTGTGGAGCAGGACTTGCAGCAATGTTGTATATGTCTTGTGAGCATCATTCACTTACAACTACCTTTAACATAATTTATTCTTACGACAATCTTTGATTATGATTTTCCTCCCTTACAATTAATTAAATTATATTTCGTTTGTCGTTTTAATTTTTATAGAAGTAATGAAGGAGATTCTGGGGGTATTTTTTGTGTTGTTATTTGAAGGTGATGGATGTGAAAATTTTGAACTAGTCGTTGTTGTGTTGTGTAGGTTTTCTTGAGTTTGGAGTGAGTTCATTGCTGGAATCAGTGACATCCAACTTTTCATCCATGGTGGTTCAAGTAATATCACATAGCAGGGAAGGGATTGTATCAAATGTTGTGTATGCTTTACTTCGTGTTTCCGCAATGTCAAGGGTAAAATATAATTATAATAATAATAATAATAATAATAATAATAATAATAATAATAATAATAATAATAATAATAAGAAGAAGAAGAAGAAGAAGAAGAATTTGGTACATATTATTGTAAATCATTATTGTCTGCTCTTAATGTGGTCAGTTTCTTCGACCATATTATTGTAAATCATTTTACAAAATTGCTTTATAATATTAATATTAATTTTCTGTTCCAGGTTGTTGATGTAGTACTACAAGAAGGTCAATATTTGATCTCTCCAGGTTGCTTATTTTAATGTTGAAGCTAACTATTCAGGGAATCCTTACCCTGCAAGTTATGACATTAGTTCCATGAATAAAATGAATCCTGTAAGTTATCTCATTTTCTTAGTTTCTTTCTTGGGGGGTAATTCTTTTTGGGTCTCAATTTTTTTATTACTGTTACAATCAGGTGCAACTTGTTGCAGAAGGTTACCCTCAATATGGGTTTGGGCCTGGATCTTGGGGATCATATGATATGCAAAGGGCTCAAGAACACAGATAGAGTGATAGACTATCTCATGCTAAGATGTGGACTCTTATGGTACTTTGAATTGAAGTGTACATTTGTTTAAAATGTTATCTTATATAAGACCTTTATTAAATTAGTATACATGTTATTTTAGATACTGTTGTCCTACAACAAATGCTAGCAATTAAAGACTAAGAAGACTAAGGTGAACAAAGAAGAAGGAAAACATAGTGATGGTAGTGAAGAAATCAAAGAAAAAGTGAATGAAAAGGCGAAAGTGAAGTGGGACCTAGTGTGGATCTTTCATCACAAAAAGTGTCAAATGAGGAAACTATAAACATATGAACACAAGTCAAGATTCGAATTTGATGCCTTCTGTTGACCTCAAGAATGTAATATCAGTGAATAGAAACTCGGAAGATTCAATGAATTCAGTAGGGAAGATGAGAACCAAAAGGAACAGGAATCAAATGAGAATGAGAATGTGAATAATGAAGTGTCTGACATGAAAAATGAAAACACAATTGTAGAGTAGAGTGGAATAAGAAGCTCTTATAACTACAGAAGAATCTTTTACAGACTTAGGAACATTACCAGAGAGTGAAATAAGAGGAAGCAAAAGCACTGAAAACACAACTGAAGAGTAGAGTGAGTTTTTTACCTTTTTTTATTTTTTAAAACTAAGTATTTTCAATTTTCTATTCTTTAAGTTCTTATAGAAAACATCATTCAATCCCAGACGGGGTCTACTCTTGTCATGTTTCACGTAAATTTACCAAAACGCCCCTCCTATTTGTAAATATTATTTTGACTTGTGAGGTTCCTATTTTCAGGTTTATGTACCATCATCATGTATGCTAGACGGGGTCTTACTCACAACATTTTTTTGGAACCGATGGAAAGGATACGAATTAGAAACAGGGTTAGCAGGACTTCAGGGTGGGGTATGGAGCATTTCCTTTGAGCGTGATTGAGTATCTGTAGAGCGCAAAGCAACCTTATAATGTCTTTGTTGCTGCTGAACTCTCTACTTGTGCAACATTGCAGAATCCCACTTATTTGGAGGTAATTATCTGAGACCATTACTTACAATCACTGTTCAAAGTACATTCAGTATTAGCCTTGATAAGAAAAAAGTTTTGGAGCAATCAAAAATGGATGTGATTGTTGTGTTGACTCGAGATTATTGATTGATTGATTGGTAGAAAGTAAAAGTGGCCCTGGTAAAAGAAAGAGAGAGGCTTTATGCGCTTTTAAAACAAGTCTCGTTTCTCAATCCCTATCCAAGCCATTCCAATTTTATACTTTGTGAGGTCACTGCTGGCTGGAAGAGATGCTAAGAACCGAAAGCTCTCTCTCTCTCTCTCTCTCTTGTATTTTTTTTCAAACCCATGTTATATGGTTGATGTGTTTGTTTTTTATGTGGGACAAGACAAGAGTTTAGGGTTATTTTTTATGACTGAATTTGTTACATTATATGTAAAGAAGATATGTGGTTTTATCTCTGCCTTATGAATTAATTGATTATAACTACTAAAAAGCAAAATGGTGAGGCCAATGGGTCCCCTGTTTCTGCAGTTACAAGTCCTGATTTCGTCAACGATGTTGTACCATGGAGCTGTAAGGGAAGATTCTATTAAAACTACTTTAGCACATGACAACTATCAGTTTGCTAAATTAAGTGATGAATGGAATTGAACTTATTTAACTGAAACTTATTATGTATGGTCCAGGAAATAATGCAACATAAATTGGTGTTCATTGAGAAAATAAGATGTGGTTGGAACTACTTTAGCACAGGACAACTATCAGTTTGATACAGATTTTGTTTTTTCAAGTATGAGTTAGATGTCTAAAATAGACAAAATTGGAGAACTGTGTAGACCAAAATCAATGCCATTGGTTATTTTGTAAAATTGTAAGAAAGTAAGTGCTAGTTTGTGATTTAGTAGAGTTATGTTGATGACACAGGAACTTGATCAATGAAGTAGGGTGCTAGAATAAACAAATAAATGAAACTATGTTGCTAATTCTTGCGTTTAAACTTTTAATATTGTGTTTTTTTCTTTGTTTAAAATTTGTTAAGAGTTTTTTATTAATAGATTGTAGCCTCAGAATCCATACGAGACACTGGAGCAGTTGCAAGTTCTCGGGCTGCTTAAATTGGGCTTGATATTCTAGCATAAACAATCCAGGTGTCACCTAGTTATTAAAGTTATATTTGTAAACATGTATATAAATACAAGGGCATTTCGGTCATTATACCCCCATAAAAGTTTTTAAAAAAGATAGGTAACTATTTGTTGCGCTTAATTTATGGATTGATAACATTAAAAAAAACATATCTCATAGTATTTTCAAATATACATTTCTCCTTTTGTCTTACAATTGTTATATTGAATGTTCATGATGACTTAGATAACATAACTCGTTTGCTAATACTAGCAAGAGAACATATAATCCCAGGAATTGACAAGCCCCATAAGGTAATCAAAAAAGATAATTTATTTTATTGTATTTTAAATCAAATTATCAAATCATATATAAACTACCCAAACAATATTCAAATTTTATTTTATCGCCTCAATTTTGCAGACGAGCATTGTGTTTACATTAGAAGAAGGCCCTAGGGTCTTGTTCAATGCTTTAGTTGTGTTTGCTCTAAGAGAGATCAAATTATCAAAAGTAAGTTATTTTTTTCACCCTTTTATTTAATATTTTTGTGATTGAATGAAAGTCTTGATGAAAGTAATTGACAACCCTTTTTTGTAAATAATGTTGTGATTGTGGGAGAGGTGTTGTGTTTTTCTCTATTGCTAGGTAACCTTCTCAACAACAGTATTCTACTTAAGCAGGTGAGTAATCAAGATTAAGGGAGACTTGTAATCATGTTTGACATTCCTTTCCAGTACACATTAAGCAGGTGGTACGCACACAAGGCGTTGGCATAAACAAATAACATGAAATGTTTCCAGTAAGAAACAGAGTTGTATGATTATTTGTTAGTTTTATAGGAATGTATAACCCATGTTAGCAATGTATTATTTCTGTTTAACATTTGAATGATTATTTGTATGACATTATAATTTGTGCAATTTATTTTATTTTTTCAGTATGAAATTTTATTTTATATTATGCAATTACTTGTATTTTTTGTATATGGTATTTTATTTCTATTATGAGAAATTAAATGCAAATTTAATTTAAAATTTAATAAATATATAATTTTTTTTAAACATTTAAATTTACGATACGCAAAAATGTTTGTCATCTTCATTTATGGCATGGCCTTTATTGACAGAGGCTTTCTTGATATGCATTGCATGTCATTAATACGCTCGTCGTAATGTTACGACACGCGAATGTGTGTTGTCTTCCTTTGTGATAGGGCCTTCCTTGATACGCAGTCGTAATTGCGCATCGTAAATGCGCGTCGTCTCTCTTTATGACAGGGCCTTCCTTGACGCGCATTTGCGCGTTGTTTGAGCCTTTTACGATGCGCAATGAACGTCATAAAAGGCTGTTTTTCTAGTAGTGGTAATGCACCTGAATAGACAAGAGCACTAGCTTATTTAGGAAAATGCCTAACATTCTTTTATGTGCTAAATAATTTATGATATGCATTATATGATCGGATCTATGGTCTGTTGCCAACCGAATCTGGAAACTTTACGTGTTCAGACTTTTAAACGTTTAATTATGGTATTAGAACTGCATGTAACTTTTCAGAGTAATAGGGAGATTTACACGTCGATCATAAATAAAATCTTTCCTATCTTAATTCTCGTCGTTTCGCACCGAACGTCTGATTTGGTGTATAGAACGAAATGGCAAGAACCCAAAGTGGAAACGCGAATGGAAATAGAAATTAACCGCCTCAACCACTAGTGATTGAGAAAATACCTGTTATAGTAACCATTCCTGAGCCAATCACAATGGTTGGAGTACAAGCCATGATTCGGGCTATGCTGGCTGAGCAAAGAGAAGAGATGAGGCAGATGTTGCACAAAAATAGGGATGAACCTACGGTACCCATCATGCAACCCAAGTTGATAGCAGAACAATCGGAGGAAGGAAATTATAACCGCACTGTGAGTCAAGTTAGAACCCACAGGGCAAGGAGGAATGGCCTTGAGAAGGGAAATGACAAGGATGGGCGGATATATAAGAATGTCTTGGTTGCAAAACCACCGAGTCACTCTGGAAGCCCAAAACCAGTGGAGATTATGGATTGTATCTCCAAGATGGAGATGGTATTTGAGAGTTGTGACTGCAGCGATAAGCAAAATACTGTCTCTGCAGTCAGACAACTAAAGACCGGAGTGTTAAGTTGGTGGAAGTTTCTTTCAGATACAATGCCACGAGGAGAAGCCATATGAATGTCTTGGGAAGCATTCACGGAGTAGTAAAAAATGCAGTACTACTCAGAGGTAGATCTAACAGACCTAAACAACGAGTTTCAGAACCTGAAGAAAGGGAAGATGAGTGTTGATGAGTATGCCACCGCATTCACTAAGAAGGTGAAGCTATTTCCCTACTTGGTTCCTACTGAACTCTCCACGATAGATAGGTTCGTTAACGGACTGCCCACAGACTTTGGCCCAACGGTCAAAATGCAACTACTTTGAAAACATCCTTTAGAGCAGCAAAGAATATAGAGACCCAAATAAGAGAAAGAGGTCTAGAAAAAGATAAGGCAGGAGAAAAGAGAAAGTTTGTAGGATCTTCAAGGCACAACAAGGAGTGTAAATTCTCGAAGTTTGGAGGAGGAGGAGGAAGAGGTGAAGCAAGATGGTGTGATAAGTGCAAAAAGAAACACTTAGGAAAATGTGGCAAAGAGGTCGTAGGTTTCAAGTGTGGAAAGTCTGGCCATTACGCCAACAAGTGCACATTTAACAAGAATGTATGTTTCAGATGTAACAAAGAAAGTCATATTACTAATGACTGCTCAAAGAAAAACGAAGCAGCAAGGCCAAATGCACCGCCAAAGCCAAGGGCATTTCACATGATCCTCGACAAAGCAGATAACAACG